AGATAAGTTCCAAAAACTTCAAGCAGTATCAATCAATAGAAGTATCAAATAATAATCAGCAAATATTTGCGCAAATGTCTCAAAACATTACTAAAAATAAGAACGGTAAGAAGATAAAGTTAATTTTATAAAAAAAATAAAATCTATCAGTTTAATATTTCTATTAGATCCTGAGATTTCGTAAGCAATAGGTTAAAGATCTTTTGATCATCCTATAGAAATTGAAAACTTCCACTTACATCGGATATTCTAAAATGTATGTGTATATATATGCAAGAATCGTATGAAATTTTTGCTACTACAAGATTTAAGTTACATTTGAAATTATAAACGATTACAGTAATAAAACGTTTGATGGTATAAAAAATATTTCTTGAAATTCGACAAAAATAAAAAGAATCAAAATTTTGGATAACAAAGGAAAGTAATATTTGGGAGACTTATCAATGACAATATATTATGTAAATTTTTAAGTCTTACTTAAACAGATTCAATCTGAAAAGCTTTGCATTAATGTGAACAATTAAAAGTAATTTATTCAGTTGTGTGAAATTTTCAAGTTGTTAAATTTCTTTTGATTATTTACACCAATCTTCATGTTTTTTTTTCCCGTCCTTGCTAGATAATAATATATTAAGGATGGGATAAATGATGAAAAATGTAGTTAGAAATTTACAAATAATCTTTTTGTAATTCACATTTCATTTATAATTTTTACATAATCCAATGATATTTCATTTATAATTTTTACCTTTCATATAAACCATAATATCTTCTAAACAATGGAAAATAATTATTTCAGATAATAAAATAATCACGTAATTGCGTCTTTTCTAATCCGTTAAAAAATCTTTTATTCTAGCTTAATTAGCATGAAAAATGTGATTAAAAATTTGTCAACCACTTTTTCACACTATTTCATCACATTGTTATATGAAGTGAACATATTTAAAGATAAATTACACATTTATTAAAAGCATTAGCACTAATTAAAAATACAATATAAGTGATATTTTAAAATTTGTCATGGAATTTTTCTTTTTTTTTCAACATTTATCATTACGTAATGATCTTTTAAGATGTAATTCACGAAGTTCCATTTCTTTCTGAAATACTTGTTGACGTAATATTTCACTTCGACGTTGCAATTCTCTCCAAACTTGTTGATACATTGGTGATAATGACAAAGGTGCTGGTATCGCCTGTATTTGTTTATTTTATTCAAATTAATTTTTAAATGCATAAAATATCGAATTTTGAAATTGTGTAATATTATGTTCTTCGTTTTTTTTTCTTTTTTTTCTTTGAAAATATAGCAGAAAAAAAATCATATTTGAAATAAATTAATCATTTATAATTTAACAAATAAAAAATTTTACATAAACAGTATTTAATACATGGATTTCTTCTGAAGGATGAGAAAATGTTTACCATTGAGGTAGAGGATGACATCAAATTTGACACATTTATGCATGAATCATTGTTGTTTGTTGCTGATATTACTTCTTCAGCTTTTGTTAATTTTGAATCTGGTAAAGGATAATGTTCAATAAAAGCCAATGAAGTATGATTGCATCGTTTTGATGGTAATATCGTTGATGATTGTGGCGAAAGTGTTGCAGTTGATCGTTGACAGAATGATGATGAATATTTGAATGAAGTTGACGGAGTATTATCTGAATGTAAAAGAAACGACATTATCCTCTAATAGATGTATCATAAGGTTTAATCATAATAATCAATTATTTTTAGTGTATTATTGAAAATAAAAATAATAGTAGTATTTAATAGATTGTTAAAAGTTTGTTAAAAATTTAGTTAATTTTATAACATAATTTACAGGAATTTTAAAATAAATATAAGTTTAGAAAGATTTGCTAAATTAGAATGAAGTTATTCTTTTTCTTTTTTTTAAATGAAATTATTAGAATATTTGGTATGATTTGCTTTGAATTTTCAAATAAAATTTTTATGTATTCCACCTGATTGTTCATTTGTTCCTTCTTTTCGAATTTTTTTTAACGGTAATGGTCCAATAACTATTTTAGCTGTACAACTGCTATTGACATGTTTCTCGGAAGCGATGACAGATATGGAATCGTTAACTTGTTCCAATGAAGAATTATCTATTTCATTAAAAATTTTCAAACATATTTTTGATATAGTTTAAAATTGCTATCCGTGGAATTCTTATGATGTAACTTTGACAAATTAAGCTAGGAAATTTAGTTTGTTAATGCTTCCATTTGAAACATATCAAAATATCAAATCGACGTAATGTATGCAAAATCTTACATATGTTTAGTAAATATAATACGCAAATCAGTGGAAACAATAAGTGCTATGTATTTGATAATATATTAGCATATGTATGTGATAAGGAAAAGTGTCATTTTAAAATTCTGTAAAAAAAAAAAAATCTAACCCATGGTACAAAATGATTTGGGATCATTTCCAATCATTGATGTTGATGAAGGAATTATGGATAAACAATGGTACTGATAGTATTTGTAATACAATGAGAATTTTGTGATTTGCTTGTATTACTATTTGTCGCTAAAAAGAAATCGTAAAATTTATATGAAATTACAAAAAAATTTGAGAATTATATGTAAAAGGTAAGTTCGAAAAATTTATTAAAAATTATGATATTTGAAGAATAATGCAAATGAATGATAATTAATTGATTGATCGATATAGTTATTGTTTAATCATTCTTCATCTTCTTTAATGATATTAATTTAATTTTCATACTTGTTGCAAATGGTAGTGGAATTTCGGTAGATTTTGTTTTCATAAATGTAACTGTTTCTTTGAATTTTTTCACATTTTCCGTACTGATCACATGATAATTACATCGTACTCGTTTAAATGATAATTGATTTTCGATAATTGCCATGCAATTAATCCAAATCCATTGTTGTGATTTTGTTCGTAAACGATGTGGTCTTATTTGATAAGTGCCAAGTTTTATTACTTAAAAAAAAAAAAGGTAAGATAAATATAAAGTTAAACATCATAATCGATAAACAACCATAGATAAATGTCGAATTTTGCAAAAAAAATCCTTAAACTTTTAAGTTTAATAGCCTAAAAACTTTTAATTACTTTAAGGAATAGTTTTACTATTTATTTTCCTGCAAGTACTTTTCTTTTTTTTTTCCTTATTAAATTTTAATTGTATAAAGAGATGAAATTACGTTGTGCGTGACATTCAGCCACTTGTAGCAAATCATCTATATGAATATAATCATAACCACTTGTACCAAGCAAATTAAATCGACTA